TTGCATAGATGTTAAGGAAACAATCAAGCAATGAAAAATCATATAGCATGTACCATAAACAAGAACAATGGAAATGCTAGAAGGGACATTACTTTAGACACTGCTGTCTGGGCAGCCAAACCAAGAGCTGTAGCTGGCAACCCCTCAATTTCTTTCTTGTCAGTTACTAATTTTTCAAACTTCTTTGTGGCATCTAAGACATTCTCCCCAAACTTCCGTGACAATTTTGTCAATTCCTGCAAAGAAACGTAAAAAAGTTAGTCATACAAACTTGGATTGAGAGAAAACTAAATGTTTGAGTACAGAGTAATTCAAAAACCCAGCCTATTAATAAAAACAAAAAATAAAGCTGAGCCTATCAAGTAGGTAGCTATGCAGTACCTGCTCAATTTCATTGAATCTCACTCTTTTATCATCTTCAAGGGCAATACCACTCAGGACAGCCTCCCTTATTTGAGCTGGGATTTGAAAAACAAAGTTTGAATAATCCATGGAATCCGTGATTGCACATTGATATAAGAAATGTACTCATGAACAAAATAAATCCATGAGTTTTGGCACTCATACCCTCGACAATTCTCTTGCGAGCATCGCTAAGACCATGCCAATCCGGAGACTCTCTGATAGCTTTAAAGGCATTATACATTGGTTTGCTCTGGCCCAACCTTAGCGCAAAAGAGACTTGTTCTGGCTGTAGGTAAAAAATAAACCATATGATACCCATTGTAGCTAGTAGGGCAAAACAAAGTCAACAAAATAACCAGCAGAAAATACTCTTTAACCCAAACTGATCAAAACTCTGAAGACGTGCTCAAAATGTCAAACTCAACTTACCAAAAGTTTCATGAAATGTGAGAAGACTGACACACATCTTAGTAATTTGCTAAGGTAAAGTCATATACAAGTATGAAATAGGACTTCAATGACCCAAGACTGCATCTTCAACCTCATAAGTTATCACATCATACCCTACCAGAGGAAATCAAGGAATTTAATGCTGACCTGAACTTCTTCAATGGCGGAGCGGAGTTCAGGATTATCTTTCACGGACTTAAGGTGATTAACGGCACCCCAAACCACAGTCAATCTATCTACGATCTTCTCCAATGGCTCCACCAGCTTAGACCACGTCGGCTCCACAGTTTTCTCCAATTCCTCCAATTCAACTTCCTACATTCCAAACTCACACAGAACAAACTCATCAACCATCGGCATACCGAGCTGACACAACACACGCATGCGTACGCATCGAAAGAGAACATACCAGTCGCTTCAGCAAAGCGCGAATCCCGGGGCGGACGTGAGATGCGGCGATCAAATCGAACGGGGGGAAATAGAAATCCGTCAACAAAGGATTGTCATCGGTCGCCGGAGCCGACGCCATCGAGAACGATCGGGAAAGAGTTTCCGGCTTGCGAGGAGAAAGCGGGGGGAGGGGAGCTGAGATGCGGAGGGCGTGAATGCAGAGGGAGAAAGACGAAGACCAGAGGGGACAAGGGCGGGATTTCAGGCGAAGATTGGGGTGAGAAAGGGAACGTGAGACGAACGAAGGGTTGAAGCAGAGGCGC